GCCTCTGGATTCTGAATTTATTATTTAATGTCAATATATTAGTGTTCCACCTCCCATAGTGTACCATGTGATTTTATTAGATATGATCAGAAAAAAGAGATCTATGGTTCTATGCATTCCAACAGGACTACTCGGAGCCTTTAAAAGGCTAACAGGAATTGAGAGTCCTCAAGTAAAAAGGAATCACACAGTGTTTTCCCACTTGCGTAACCATAGAACTCTTTTATGGGACTAACACTTCATGGAACACAATTTGGGGAATTCTGTATTGGGGCTGATGAGAAATCTATAATTAAAACAGAATTACAGCAGATGTCCATACAATGAATACATCTGCATTTTAAAACACTGAACATCTCTAAACAGTGGGCTAGCTTCAAAGAGTGGTTTATACAAGAAAAACTTTTAAAATAAAGATTTCTTAATTTGTCCACAATACAGCATGAATGTTTTAATTTCCACTATGACAAGCATGATGTAGGAGTGAGTAGGGGAAGTATTAGTCAAAAAAAGGAGTGGGAGATAAAAAAATCATTTTAGTAAAAAAAAATATTTACTAACTACACTAAGAAATTTCAACTGAACTCTTACTACAGGGCATGCAATGTTTCCCAGTTGGTTTAATCACAGTATTCTAAATAGCAAAAGATCATAAGTGATAAGAATTTATAGAACTGGAAATGACCATAATCAAATCTTTGGAAAAATCTTGGAAAAACTATTGCAAGGAAATAACACAAATGATGATGTAGCTTGTGTTCCTACAGAGAAAAGAATAAAATAAACGGGGGCAGGGTGAGGTTACTTTCTTCCTTAAGCAAAAAGCAATTCTACTCCAACACCCAGCACTGTAAAGCAGTTTCAATTTCAATTGTTCAAACAAAATGCATGCTCACTCACTAACTCACACTGTTTAAGCCTGTCATGCTGGCAGTAATTGTCCATATTCATATGGAGAACCAGGTGAACACTTCAGTATCAACAAATTACAACGATTACACATTTTCATAAGTAATGACTTATCTGTGAGGGCTGTCACCACCTCTTGAGTGAAACCCCATGCATTATGGCTACGTGACATGGGGATGCTGGTGACAAGAGCAGCAGTGAACTGGCGGTACTTACTAAGTATGCACAGGTTGTAGGGCCATGGACTGGGTGCTTAAAAGTTCATGACAAAGATCAGAGTCTCTAGTTTCTGAAAGTATCATTAGCAAAAAGCATTTATTATCACACAGAAGTAGGCATCTGACTGTGGTCCAAGTCAGGGATCAAACACTAACTGACTAATGATTGAATGTACTAGAAGAACAGGGAATTTTTTTTTCTTCAAACACACATAGAAGTATATCAAATAAAAAAGAGGGAGTTTAAGACTCTAACTGAACATTAGAGAAAAAAATTAGAGCCAAATGTGAGCACTACAAAATTACAGAAGATTGAAATAGCTTTTACTGACAAAAAAGAATTTGTTTGGTCATATTTGAGAAAAAATATTTATAGTCCTCTAATCCACTAAAATTTGAGTATAATTCATAGCAACACACTAATATTCCCTTATTAAATGTGGAATTGATGCCACAGAACCTTTAGTCAAAAATTAACCTTGATGGTAATGAAATATTTTTACAGAAGCATCTTCTCCCTCTTGACCAAGAGTACACATTTGTGACATGACTGGCTGGAGATGAGGATACAATGTGGGCCCACACAGACCATATCAAAGCTAATTGGATTTTGTGGCAAATAAACTCACGACCTAGACCTCATTAGTCATGATCTAAGCAACTGAGCTAGTGGGCCATAGAAAATATATGTTGGCACTAGATATTTATTTTGAATCATTTCTGCACTTAAATGGGCCGTATAATTTTAAAGAACGAATCTTAGAAATGTTGTTTTTCTAAGGTTTTGTGAATGAATGAATACAACTCACATTTACCCATTATGTGGAACTCTAAGATGAGTAGTAGGGTAGTTTAAAAAGGAACAAGATAATGTGCAGAATTCAAAATTTTAAGTAAAAGAGAAGCATATAAATAAGTAAAGTACATAATTTTACAGCAATAACTAATGTTCATTGAGTTCTTACTATTTCTCAGACGTGGTACATAAAATATTTTTGATAAACTCAGGTTACTGTTTGGGTATCTCTTATCCAAAATGCTCGGGACCAGAAGTGTTTCAGACGTGGGATTTCTTCTGATTTTGAAATACTTGATCTATATACTTACCAGTTGAGCATCCTTATTCCACAAATCCAAAATGCAAAATGTTCTAATGAGCACTTCCTTTGAGTGCTATGTTGGTACTCAAAAAGTTCCAGATTTTGAAGCATTTCAGTTTTCAGATTTGGGAGCTTAGGCATGCTCAACTGGTATTCTGTTTCAACGACAACAAACTAACCTCTCTACCTTAACTTGGACCAGTAAAAATGAGAAATGACTGTAATAGATACTGTGCAATTAACTCTCTCAACATCCATCCTAATAGCCCTTTCCCCCTTGCTATCTTCTGCCATAACAGATATGAAAGCTACAAACTACCATTCTCAGATTCTCCTGCAGATAACCATTACTAACTTGTCACAGGCAAAGATGAAATGAAAATTGACAACTGGGCGACCTCTAGGAATATCTAGAAAGTCATTTATTTTCCTTGATACCATAAAATTCCAATAGTTGTTTTAGTTTATTGTGGAAATTCCAAAATCAGGCTCCAGGAGATCCTGGATCTATATAACAAACAGATACAGTAACAAATATTCACAGTGTGTCTAAAATATATAAAGAGCTATAGATTCAATAAAGTAACAGAAGGTGACAGTGGTAGCTCATGCCTGTAATCCCAGTACTTTGGGAGGCTGAGGCGGGAGGACTGCTTGAGCCCAGGAGTTCAAGACCAGCCTAGGCAACATAGGAAGGCCTCGTCTCTAAAAAAGTAAACAAAAACAAAACTGCTAGGTGTGGTGGCTCACACCTATAATTCCAGGCTCGAGCCCAGGAGTTCAAGACTAGTCTGGGCAACATAACAAGACCTTGTCTCTACAAAAAATTTAAAAAATCAGCCAGGCACAGTGGCATGTGCCTATAGTCCCAGGTATCTGAAAGGCTAAGGTAGAAGGATCACCTGAGCTCATGAGGCTGCAGTAAGTTGTGATTGTGCCACTGCTCTCTAGCCTGGCCAATAGAGTGAGACCCCCCAACTCAAAACAAAACAAAAATATAAACACAAATACAACAATAAACACAGAGTTCCAGAAATTAAGTTTTTATTATGTGCCAAACACCTAAGTAAAATGTAAATAAAACAACAAAATGCCAAGTTCCTATTCAGAGAGAGTTCTTCCTAGTATGGGAAACATAAAAAGTATTCATTGCTGGAAGTAAAAGTCAGAGTATGATGCTGTTCTTTATAGGAAAAGGATAAGGTAACTGCAGCGGAGGAAAGTCAGGGTCTATGCCACAAAGGAAGGAGTAAAATGTCAGACTAGAAAGATCACACTAGCCTGGATTTGGGGGTCTGCAAGGAAAAGAGAGAAGGCAGAGAATGCCATTTCAGCAGAGAAAATCACATGTCTGAAACACAGAGATATAAAAAGGGAGTATTTGGAGGAAAATGCACAAAGACGGTTATACTTGAAACAGAGAAAGTAAAGCTACAGAGGTAGAAATAGGGAGAATGCCAAGGTGGAAAGCTGGATTTTCTTTTACAGGTAATGGAGGTGGTGCTAAGGCAGTGAAGATGTGGATAAATTCAGAGACCAAATAAGTAATACAAGCGAGAATCTGAGTCAATGAAAAGCTTCGTTTTCTATCATCTGTTATGTACCAGATCCTGTACTAGGTACTTTAAGTATGTTTACGCCAATCCTCACAACTCAGTATTATCCTCTTTCCCTCTCCATGGAAAGAATAATACACTCAGAATACTTAAGTACGTTGACCACAATTATAAAACTAATACATAGCTAACCAGGATTTTAAGTTTTTAGTTGCAGTGAATAGTAGATACCAACAGTTGAACTCATTCCATGTGTCATGCATTCTTCTGAGGTTAGAGTTATTACAGTAGAGGGGAAAAAAAAGAAAAAAATTCCTGTCCTCATGGAGCTCTTAAGTTGACACCATGGGAATCATGAATACTGAATCTTAATTCAAATGGGTTAAAAAGCCTAAATAAAACATAAACAAAATGCAAATAAAATTTACATTATTACTGATGCAATGAAGATAAGTTCATGGAGGATAGGTTCAGATAGGAAAATAAGATTCACTGAGCATCAGGCACTTTTATATAGAGCATCTTATTTAATAAATGAGGAAAAAACTAAAAACTTCAAATATACAGACAAATACATATACACAAAAATTTATCTTATATATAAGAACAAAAAGCACAGACTTTAGAAACTAAAATATCAAAATCATTAACAAGGAGCATAAGTTTTTCTCCACCTAGAAAACACTATTAGAGAGGATAACAACTTTTTCTTTTTTTTTTTGAGTTGGAGTCTCACTCTGTCACCCAGGCTGGAGTGCAGTGGCACACTTCCAGCCACCGCAGCCTCGACCTGCTGGGCTCTGGCAATCCTTCCGCCTCAGCCTTCCAAGTAGCTGGAACTACAGGCATGCACTACCACGCCCAGCTAATTTTTGATTTTTTTGTAGAGATGAGGTCTCGCCAAGTTGCCCGGGCGGGTCTCGAACCCGTGAGCTCAGGCAATCCACTCACCTCGGCCTCCCAAAGTTCTGGGATTACAGGCTGAGCCACCAAGCCCAGTTGATAACAACTTTAATAATTTAAAATACTCTACTGAGGTTAGGTGAGAGAAAAATGAGTACATACTCTCAAGAAACAGACAAAGCTTTAAACATCAGCTTAATTTCAATAACTCTTTTCTAGTAAAATATTACTATGAAAACAAGGAAGCAATCTGGGAATAGTGAGACACTATTTCTGAGTGGGGAAATTAAACAGACTTCTACATGTAAACTTACATTGCTCCATTAGTATAGACAGTATCACTTCCTTCCACATACTGCACCTGAGCTGGATAGACATGTTGTACCTGCTGCACAGTCTGCACCTGCTGTACCTGAAAAACAAATGTTAGGAACTTGGTAAGAGGTAGGTATGATAGAAAGAATAGACTTTACCTCAAAGGTTTCTCTGGTGTTACTGACAAACGTGAGAATGACATAGAATGAAAACTATTAGAGTCATGCTAATTTCTAGATAAGTATATGAGCACAGATCAACTATAGCATTTATGTTGAATAAACTCTGTAACATTCCTGCAGGTATATATGTATAGACACACTTCAAATGTTCAAGTTTAAAATTCTGAAAGTTTCTTGCTTATTATAATATTTATTAAATCCCCTTTCATTCTAATTAAAAATTAAGGTCAAATTTATTTTTTAATTAAGAATGATTCATAATGGAAAATTTCAAACTATATACTTGTCATTCAAGATAAATAATTGTCAGCAGTCCTCTCTTTATTCCCTCACAGAATTATTTAAAAGTAATTTCAGAGATTATGTCATTTCAGTAGTAAATATTTTCATTTGCATTTCTGTGAGATAAGAACTGTTTTCAACATGAACACAATATGAATACAACATATAAAGTATTAACAATTCCTTAATATCATCTAAAATTTAGTGATCATTAAAATTTCCCTAATTATTCCAATGACTTTGTAGTGTTGGATTTTTCAAATCAGAGTTCAAACAAGGTCTACATAATGCATTTGGGTTGGTATTTTCCATCTCTTTTAAACTCTATCAGTATCCCCCATCCTTTTTATTTTTTGCATGTTACTTATGGAAGAAACTGGGTCATTTACCTTGGAGAATTTCTGGCATTGTAGATGTGGCTAATAGATTCCTGAGATGTTATTCAATATGTTCCCCTATCTCCCACATGTCATAGAAAATGGTAGTTAGATCTGGGAGCTTGATCAAGTAACATTTTTGAAAAGCCGTATACATCCTACCGTAACAATTTCAGGTGGCATATAATAACTGGCTGTCTCTCTGCAATGTTAAAATTGACCAGTGGGGCCAAGTGTTGTCAGTTGGACCCATCTATTATCATACTCCTTTATCCATATTTTACCTGAGGGTAATTTAATAGCCACTGATGAAAATTTCCTAGATATAATATTTTAATAAGTAAAGCTTATAAACCAGTGGTAGTCTAATTCTGTTATTCTTTATTTATTTATTATTAATGCCCTCTATGAAGAAGAAATTCCTTTCATTATTTGGTTACTTTGAAATAAGGTTCTTATGGGAAGATTAAGATAAATACATGATTCTTTTATTTTCCAATACTGAAAATAATGACTTGATCCCCTAATACTCTCCAAAGGTGACCAATGTGGTTTTTGTTTTATTTTGTTTTGTTTGTATACTGATGTCTTTCTAACCTAATAGTCTTTCTTTCTTTTTTTTTTGCTAAAATCTTCCCTTCTCCTGACCAGTGGCAGTATCTTCAAACTGATTTCTATGACATGGTCCCAGTATCTTTCTTAACTCTCCCGTTTTCTGTTACAACAAGATGTTCCAGGTTGCTGTCTTTTATTTTCAGTCCAAGATCTGCAATCAGCCATTTATTTGAAAATCCTAGCTCTCATTAGTGGAAAATTGTATTTATTAGGACTATAGTCAGGGCACTATGAATGGTCATTATTGGGATACTGTTCACATTTCTAGGTCTTTTGATTAGACAAAGCCAGAAAATACGAATATATTTTGAAGGATAAAAATATAAATCATAAATTCTTATGAATTTTTTCAAATTAGTTTAATAGATATATACAAATTTAATATCTTCTATATGTTTGTTCATCTTTGCTCTTACGCTAAAAATTTGTTACTAAAGATTTTAACATAATTACTTATTTGGCTTATCATGAAATTTTATAGTTTCAAAATAAAAATACCAATGTTACTAAAATTTCATTAACAAATACTGTTTAAGTTTCCTTCAATTTTTCTGTTCTTAGGATATATTCCTCTAGGGATACGTAATTGCATTACTATACTTTAAGGTCACTGGAAATAAGTTACCAACTTCATATTCAGTTAAGTTCATGTGTTTAATTTTCTTTTTAATTTTAGAATCTGCTATATTTAACTTTGATTTACTTTTGCTTTATGATTACATGAAATATCTACATGGTTCCATAAACAAAATCATAAAACAAGGAACATATTTGCATAGATAATCTTGCTTCCATCTCTTTTACCTCTATCATACTTACTAACCCCCAGAGGTAACAATTTTCACTAATTGAGGGTTTATCCTTTCATTGATTGTCTTTTCCTTTATATATTTTTGGACAGACAAAGCAAATACATATGAATGTATATATATGTATTCACGTGTGAATACATAACACACACAAATATATGTATACACATTCCTCATTATAAGATAAAAATTAGTATTTTATACATACTGTTCTGAACCTTGTTTTTTTAATTAACAATTTAGAATAAACCTGGAGATCACACAACTTTAGTACATTGTGCCGTAAAGTAGAAAATGAATGAATTTCTTTTTACCTGGAATTGTGAAAAATTTTCCAGGCTACAAATTAAAATCAATTATTTTCACATAAAAAATTTTAAACTGTTTACATCATTAAAAATATAACAAGCTGCTGGGCTCGGTGGCTCAGCCTGTAATCCGCACCTTTGGGAGGCTGAGGTGAGTGAATTGCCTGAGCCCATGGGTTCGAGACCCGCCTGGGCAGGCGAGACCTCATCTCTGCAATAAATCAAAAAATTAACCGGGCTGGTAGGGCGCCTGTAGTTCCAGCTACTTGGAAGGCTGAGGCGGAAGGATCGCCGGAGCCCAGCAGGTCGAGGCTGCTATAGCCAGGAGTGGCCACTGCACTCCAGTCTGGGTGACAGAGTGAGACTCCAACTCAAAAAATATATATATAACAAGCAAAACCAAACACAAAGGAGCATCCACAAATTTCAGAAGAAAAAAACTGACAATCCCATTTTAAAAAAATGTGTGTAGAGGGCCATCATCAATAACTCAAAAAATAACAGATTTCTGAAGAGGATGCAGGAAAAAGGGAACACTTCTACACTGTTGGTGAGAGTGTGGAAAACAGTTTGGCAATTCTTAAAAGATCTAAAAATTGACCTTCCATACGAACCCACAATCCCCCTACTGGTAGTATATCAGGAGGAACTCAAATCACTCTATGAAAAAGATACCTGCACGTATGTTTATTGCAACATTGTTCACAGTAGCAAAATCATAGAACCATCCGTGCTACCCGTTGAAAGAGGACACAGACACAGCCTGTAATCCCGCGCCTTGGGAGGCTGAGGTGAGTGGATTGCCTGAGCCCGTGGCTTCGAGACCCGCCTGGACAGCGAGACGTCATCTCTACAATAAAACAAAAAATCAGCCAGGCGTGGTAGCGCTTGCTTGTAATTCTGGCTACTTGGAAGGCTGAGGCGGAAGGATTGCCGGAGCCCAGCAGGTCGAGGCTGCGGTGACTGGGAGCGGCCACTGCACTCCAGTCTGGGCGACAGAGTGAGACTCTAACTCAAGAAAAAAAAAAAAGAAATGGAAAGAAAGAGGACTGGATTTTTTAAAAATGTGGTACATATACACAATGGAATATTAAGCAGCCATAAAGAAGAACAAAATTATGAACTTCATAGCAACTTGGATGGACTTAGAGACTTAATACTGAGTGATCTATCACAGAAACTAAGAACTGAGTATCACATGTTCTCACTCATAAGTGGACCGTGAACAATTATCTTAATACTATAAGAAAAGGATTGGCAGTAGTGGGAAACTGCCAGGTGTGGGGGGGCACACCTCATCAATAAGGGTACCTGCATAATGAACATTTGTATACCTAACCCCGAATTGTACTCCATATCTTTAAAATTAGAAAGAAAAAGAAAATCTAAATGACCTTGGGCTTGGTGATGACTTCTTAGATAACAACACTAAAAGTGTAATCCATGAAACAAAGAAGTCATAATGTGAATTTCATTAAAATTGAAAATTTATAGTCAGTGAAAAACTCGATGAAGAATACAAAAAGACAAACCACAGACTGGGAGAAAATATTTGCAAGACTTATCTGATTATTGACTCTCATCCAAAATTTACAAAGAACCCTTAAAACGCAGCAATAACAAAATAAACAACCAGATTTTTTTAAAGGGCCAAAGACCCTAATAGACACCCCTCAAAGAAGATATACTGATGACAGAAAAGCAAATGTAAATATTCTTCACATCATATGTCATGAGAGAAACTCAGATTAAAACAATGTGATACCAAAATCTAAAACAATGAATTAGAATGTCCAAAACCCAGAACATTGACAATATCAAATGCTGGAAAGGAGATGGAAAAATAGAAATTCTCATTCATTGCTGGTAGAAATGCAAAATGGTATGGTCACTTTGGAAGACAGGTTGGCAGTTTCTAACAAAACTCAACATACTCTTATAATATGATTCAGTAATTGTGCACAAAAACAAGTACCTGCATATTTCTAACAGCTTTATTCAAAATTACTAAAACATTGAAAGCAACTAAGCTTCCTTCAGCAGATGATAGATAGGTAAACTGCAGTACAAGACAACAGAATATTATTCAGAATTAAAAAGAAAGGAGCTATCGAGTTATGAAATGATGAAGAAATTTGAATGTATATTACTATGTGAAAGTAGCCAATCTTTAAAAGTTACATACTATACAATTCAAACTATATGTTATTTTGGAAAAGGCAAAACTATGGAGATAGTTAAAAGATCAGAGGTTGGGAAAAAGGAGAGATGAATAAGCAGCACCTACAGGATTTTCGGAACAGTAAAACACAGTAGGTTCTGAATGATACTATAATGGTAGATACCTGTCATTACATACTTGTTCAAAACCAGAGAATATACAACACTCAGAGTAAATTCTAACGTAAATTATGGACTTTGGGTGATAATGATGCATCATTGTTTGTACATCAATGATAACAAATGTACCTCTCTGGTGGGGGATGTTGATAATAGGAGAGGCTATTCGTGTGTAGGGGTGGGG